AGAATAGCTAGATGCTGACTTCTTATTAATAAAGTCAGTGATTTGTTTTTCTTCTACTGAAATATATATGAGAGTTACTGCATATTTTATACAATCTTCTTAGTATACTAAGTATCATATCTGTGATATTCTTGCAATAACTCTGTAGTCTACAAGCTTGCTATTCAAGTAAGATAGTCAAGCTCACTTATACAGCTTCTCAAACAACTATCTCTATGTAACACCGCTAACTAGTCACTGCTTCGATTCCGTCACATTACAGTTATACATAGAAATCTTCATAAGTCTAGTCTTCATCTACACTTACAAGAGTCTGTAAAAGTTCAAAAGTTAATATCTTCTTAAGTATGCTAATTTTCATTCAATTCTCTCAAGATTGATCACCTGCTTCTAGAATCTTGATGTCAAAGTCAGAGATGAATATTATAAGAGAAGTGTTTCTCTGTTAATCACTCTGTAATTAATCTAATGCTTTCTGTTACATAGCAGTGTCTCAGAACAGAATATCAAGATATTTAATAATATTATCAGATGTTCATAACACTGGTTCACATGCTTTTATTCATGAATAAAACTTCTGTTTTATGTGATTTTTCAATCATTCATTGATATATCAATCTTAATTAATTAGTAAATCAATAATATCTTTATCTATACTCAGTTTCACAAGCATTTCCATTCTTCATGATGAGTAGAGAGTGAGATCAGAAGTATTAAAATATGTAAAAGCATCTAAGTGTTCTTTCAGTACTTTTGTATTCAATTCTGTAGATGTTGAAATTGCATGAATTTCTTGTTGAGTTAATCATTGAATTTCCTTGCATTGAAGTTGTTAAGTTGCATGCATATCAGCTATCTGTTACTATTGTAATTTCAACATTGCTCAGAGTCACTGTGATATTATATCTATACTTACATTTAAGAGTTCTTTCATATTATTGTTAGACATGATTATATTAATTATTAGATATGTGATATATTCTCTTTGTAAGATCTTGTTACAGAGTCAGAGTGACTGATAAGTAGACTGACTGTGTGACTGTGTCTGAGATCAGAATCAGATTTTTTAATAGTTTCATTATTAATTTGACTGATCTCATTACACAGTTTTAACATTAGATAGTAGTCTCATACTGTTTCAGTGAGACTTACTGTCTACTCTTGTTACATTTTTCAAATGAGATCATGATTTTCACTTCTCAATTTAAATTATTTTTATTGCTTTAAATGACTTTAAATAAATCTCATTTGAGTATTATCAAAAAGCATTACTTTTTAAAAAATTAAAAATAGTCTAAAAAAACCTTAAAATGTCTAAAAATAGTAACTTTATGTCAAGAATAAGACTAAATAAGATCAAATAAGATCACTTTCTCATTTTTTTCAAGTTATGGTTTCATTTTAAGATCTGATATATAGTCACTTTGCATGTTTTTTTAATGACTAGTCTCAGTGAGATTCATACTAAGAAATGTATGAGACTAGATTAAATGAGATCAAACATGAAATTCATGATCTCAGTGATCAGTCTACTGATGAGCAAGCTTCTATCTGAGAACTCAGTGTTCACTTTAACTGTTTAACTGTTTCTCTATTTCTTACACATTGTTATGCATTCAGATATCTCAGTGAGTAATCATTTCTAATAAGAAGATAATGAATGTTTTTCAAGTGTAAGAGACTTACACTAAATAGATTGATATAATATATAGATCTTATATAACAAAGTGAAAAACATTAGAGGAGAAAAGCAAGAGAAAGTGCAGAAATCAGCAATTGAAGTGAATATTTATATGCATATGCAGTGAAGCTTCGGGGTGAAAGAATAGAAATTTCATGAGTTTTTTCAGCTGAGAATCAGTGACTGAGAATCAGAGCTTTCAGCGGAATCTGTGAAGTGTAATGAAATAGTCTATATGATTGATCGGGCGCAGCCCGCTATATATATAAAAGATGTGAGATAAATCTGTATAATAGTCAGAGAAAGATCTGCAGATTATAAAGAATCTTATAGAATAAGAAACTGAGTGACAGACTCTTTTCTCTTCACAGTAATAAGGAATTTTTCCTCATTGAGATTTTTTATAGATATGAAGAGTTTTTAATAAGTATTACTACAGTACTGAGTCTGATTCTATGAAATCACTCAGTGAAAGACTTCACAGATAAAGTCTTAGAGAGAGAAGAATATATAAGAAATCTCACTTCTTACAGATTCTTTAACTTTATTTCTATCTCTTATATAATTAATAGAGTTAGCAGCTCTTGACTATATATAACTATATAGACTGAAGTTTATAACTACTATTCATAACTCAGCTTAAATGCTAATATATATTTAATCTCTATATTTTATCTTTCTATCATGAATACTTTTAGTAGTTAATAGTATATATCACATCAAGCTGCAAACACCTGAATAATCACCTGCGAGTACTTATTCTTATAAGAAGACTGTTACTGACTCTGTCTATAACTTCTCAAATTTCTATTTTAATTTATTAAGATAGTTTATATAAAGATATTCTGATTTAAATCAGATAAAACAGAGACTCTTTTTCTTAGTCTTTCTATTATATACTCTATTTATAGAAGCTTATAAAGTTCTCTCTCTTTACTCAGTAGTCAGATATGAATCTCTCTATATTTTATTATCTTTTTTCAGTAAATCTAGTCTCTATTATTTAGGTTCTTACAGAGCTGATCAGTGATTTACTCTTTATAAGTCTGTGATTCTTACAGTGATCTGTAAGTAATAAATAAGAGTTATCAGTTTCTTCAGAACTAAGAGTTTAGAGTCTTACTTAATAAGCTTATTCTATATATTTTTATTTAGTCTTATTTTAAATATTATCATTCAGATCTTATTTCAGAGCTCTGTTTTCACAGATCTTAATTTATATTATAATTTCATGAAATACTGTGAGTAGTCTTTATTAGATTTCTTATCTCTTTTTCTAATATTAATAATCACAGCTAGACTGACCGTGTGACTGTGTCTGAGACTAGAATCAGAATTTTTGATAGTTCTATTATCAATTCAACTGATCTCATTACACAGTTTTAACATTAGATAGTAGTCTTATATAGACTGACTGTGTGACCGTGTCTGAGACCAGGACCAGAATTTTTGATAGTTTCATTGTCAATTTGACAGATCTCATTACACAGTTCTAACATTAAATAGTAGTCTCATACTGTCTCAGTGAGACTTACTGTCTACCCTTGTCACATTTTCCAAATAGAACCATGATTTCCACTTCTCAATTTAAATTATTTTTATTGCTTTAAATGACTTTAAATCTCATTTGAGTGTTATCAAAAAGCGTTACTTTTTAAAAAATTAAAAATAGTCTAAAAAAAACCTTAAAATGTCTAAAAATGATAACTTTATGCTAAGAATAAGACTAAATGAGATTAAATGAGATCACTTTCTCATTTTTTTCAAGTTATAAATTCATTTTGAGATTTGATATATAGTTAGTTTACATGTTTTTTTAATGACTAGTCTTAGTGAAATTCATATCAAGAAATGTATAACTCAGTATGAGATCAGATCAAATGAAATTAAATATGAAATTTATAATTTCAGTGACTAGTCTAATCACAGCTCAGATATTCTCTATTCAGCTTATAAAGTCTTTTAACTTATTCTCTAAATAGATTTTAAGAATGAATCAGTAGAATCTCTTATAATTATTCTCTAGATAATTCAGTTAATTCTTGACTTTAATATAGTAGAGATCTGTTATTATATAGATAATAGCTTCTTCATCTTTTATATTATATAGTCAGACTTATAAGTCAATTTTAAATACAAACTTATAAAAGCTTTTATAGATTGTTATTATTATTATTATTATTATTCTTTTATTATACTTATATACAAGCAGAGCTTATGATGAGTCCTTACATGATGTTAAATACAGGCTAAGTGTTGATTATACAGAAGGAAATACAGGTGTTGAGACTATATCAAGATAACAAGAACATAGAAATTACAAAGAAGTGACAATTAAATACATACAATAATAACTTCTCATCTCAGAAACATAGAGCAATTTGTTGAAGTGATTTGTACATCTCTGTATTTATTAGAAATCTGAGGTGCTTGAGTTCTGAATTTAATGTATCCCCTGCGGGTTTCGAACTCACATGTCTCAATTTCTCACATCAAGGTGCTACTGAGTGACTGCATTAATCATTCAGTCACCGGGGCTTTTATAGATTGTAATTCAGTAGATAATCTTAAGTGATTACAGTTTAAGAAAGTTTCTTTTCAGTTTATAAATATCTCTGAAGATTATATCTAGAGACTCAGTTTTAAAGTGTTTACAGATAGTAAGTATTTCTTATAGAAAAATAACTTAATTCTGTAAGAAATACTTAAGAATATTCTTTACTAAGATTAATTTATTCATAAATTCAAAGAATTTCTCTATTATAGATATAGAGAATAATATTCTATAAGTAATTAATAAGTTCTCTAAGACTTCTTTTATAGAAATTATTTATAATTTAGATAACTACTTCTGAGTATCTATAGTAGAGTTTATAGAGATTAAAGTATATAAGTTTCTAGTTCTTTCAGTTATAATAAATAGTTACTGACTGATAGAGCTTGAAATGTAAGAATAAGTGCTTATAGATAATTATTCAGATGTTTATAGCTTGATATAATATATACTGATAACTATTAGAAGTATTCACAGTAGAAAAATAAATATAGAGATTAAATATATAATAGTATTTAAACTAAGTTATAAATAGTATTCATGAACTTCAGTCTATATAATTATATATAGTCAAGAGCTGCTAACTCTATTAATTACATAAGAGATAGAAATAGAGATAAAGAATCTATAAGAAGCAGAATTTCTTACATTCTACTAAAAGTCTTAATTCTCAGTCACTGATTCTCAGCTGAAGAACTTACAGAGTTTCTATTCTTTCACTTTAAAACTTTATCTTATACATATATAAATATTCACTCTAATTACTGATTCTTACACTTTCTCTTTTTATTTTTCTTCTCTAATGTTTTTCACTTTTATTATATAAGATTTATATATTATACTGATCTATTCAGCGTAAACCTCTTACAGATATTTATACATATATTGTGAAAGATGTAAAGCTTGTGTGATTGAAAGGTTGCTAGCTTTGTGAAAAGTTATATGATGGAAGGATTAGTAAGTCAGATCACGTGACCTGACACCCCCACTCACCAGAGTAACTATACACGATGCTATATACAAAATTCGCCTTCAAATCAAGTACAGGTACAAAAAATGACTGGAAAATGTGAAGTAATGAAAAACCAGTCATGATATACATCATTTTTTATCCCCCTATCCCTTCATCTTCATTATATTCTCTTTCCAACGCATATATTTCAAACAGTTGACCTCTTTAACACAGGTCTTGTAATAATACTTCCATTCCATGGAAGCTTTGGCGCGCGTGAGGTTTTTCGGGATCGGAAGTGCAGCGATCTCGGGATCGGTGGGTAGGTCTTCAAGACTGTCCCCCACTGAAGCTTCCCCCACTGTAGTGATATCCCTTGTAGATGTCGGAGGATCATCAGATTCAACTGTGAGTTCTGAGGAGTTCAGTGTATTCTGCACTAAAAGGGTAGGTATTCTCGCGGAGATATCATAGTCAATCCACCAATTATTAGTGGGTATGAGAAGTAATGGACACTCAGGTCGAATATCCTCATCAATGAATAGATTATCAATTGATGGATCAGGAATCGCTGCAGTCTCTTTACGGGCCGCAGTCGGTAGGCCTGGTGTCGCTGAAGGAATCGCCGCAGCCGCTTTGCAGGCCGCATTGGGTAGGACCTTCAGGTTGTGCGTTGTAGCTGTTGTAGCTGTTGAGGTGGTGGCAGGATGATTGTTGACATCCTGTGGTCGATCCGTAGAGGATCTCTGTTGACGGAGTTTTTCCAGTTGTAGTTCGAGTTCTAGGACTCTTTGCTTCCCCTTGTCCATCTCAAGTATCATCTTGAGATGCTCCATCTGTTGGTCTGATATTGCCTCGCCCGAACGGTAGACACCTGGGTGTCCATTATTCTCATCAAGAGAACCAGCTTCAAATCGAGAGGGTGTTTCATCAATGGAGCTTTCAAAGGCTCCAGGAGGATGTCCACTGGCAGAGCGTGAGTGTGAAGAATCATCATCATCAACTGCAACTGATCCAGTGGAAAGGACGCGAGATCGCGAACGTGTGTGTGGGCGAGATTGTATTGAATCCGCCATCTTGATATTCGTTTATTGGATCCTTGCCAATATCGTTCTCTTTTCTTGCTTTTTTGCAAATGTGGTGCGTTTTCTGCAAGCCTCTTTTTTTTAAGCGAGCAGTAGTATTATTGATCATCAAGATCTCAAACGCATCAATACTGATAGAATAAGATGATTTTAACTCCTGATGGGCGTATCAAATGAAGCAGTAGTTCAAATAATGAGTATATTGACAAGGAATCCCGAATTGGCAGCGATTTTGCGCAAAACGGGTCTCATAACCTGTGGAAGGTGTAAAGCTTGTGTGATTGAAAGGTTGCTAGCTTTGTGGAAAGTTATATGGTGGAAGGATTAGTAAGCCATATCACGTGACCTGACATATATAAGATAAAGCTTCAGAGTAGAAGAATAGAAATTCTATCAATTCTTCAGTTAAGAATTAATAACTGAGAATCAGAGCTTTCAGTAGAAATCTATGAAGTGTAATGAAATAATCTATATAATTAATCAGATGCAGTCTGTCATACTTTAAATAAAGTTATTAATAAAACTTTATAATAGCTTTTTAAAATTAATAATAATTACTACTCTGTATATAAGAGCTATTTCTTAAATATAATTAATTATTAGTTTTATTTTTCTTTTCTTAGAAAAAACAGAGAATTTTATAATATTATTAAAATTTTCATTTATTATAGTTAGACTGATTATGTGACCGTGTCTAAGACTAGAATCAGATTTTTTGATAGTTTCATTATCAATTCAACTGATCTCATTACATGGTTTTAACATTAGATAGTAGTCTTATACTGTCTCAGTGAGACTTACTGTCTACTCTTATCACATTTTCTAAATAAGATCATGATTTTCACTTCTCAATTTAAATTATTTTTATTGCTTTAAATGACTTTAAATCTCATTTAAGTATTATCAAAAAGCATTACTTTTTAAAAAATTAAAAATAGTCTAAAAAAAACCTTAAAATGTCTAAAAATAGTAACTTTATGCTAAGAATGAAACTAAATGAAATCAAATGAAATCACTTTCTCATTTTTTTCAAGTCATGATTTCATTTTAAGATCTGATATATAGTCACTTTATCTGTTTTTTTAATAGTCAGTCCCAGCAGGATTCACATCAAGAAATGTATAAGATCAGATTAAATGAGATCAAACATGAAATTCATGATCTCAGCAGTCAGTCTAATTATAGTAATAAATAAAATTCAAAGTTTCTTTTATTTTATAAATTACTTCAAAATTTTTATACAGTAGATAGTTAAATTTTATTCAAGTTTTATTAATTAAAAAAATAAGAGATTAATATTTAAAAATTCAATATTAATAATTCATTATTTACTGAAACTAAATATTTTATATTTATAAAATAAAGAATAATAATGAGTTTCTTATATAATATTTAATAGTTGATTTTAAAGCTATGATAAACATTTCAATTTTATTTAACTATTTCACACAATTGAGTAGAACAGCTGATATATATTTTAGAAATAATTATTTTTAATTCATAATATTGAATTTCTTGATAGATTATCTCAAGATAATTGAAGACCTTCTCATAGATTCACTCAAGTTTATAAAAAAGAAGAGTATCTCAATATTGATCACAGATTAATTATTTTGAAGAAGTAATAGAGATTTCTGAGAGAGTTTCTGAAGCTTCAAGAGCAGCAAGTAAATTCATATTGATAAGAGAATGAGTATATATAGTGTAGAGATTGTGTAGAGGTAGAAACATATAGCAGAAGATCTGCCACTCTGGAATTCAGGTTAGCAGGCCACTAAAAATATTGTATACTTATCTTCAAGCAATGAGGTCTGTAGTTCCTAGTTGCTTCCTTGCGCCAATCGCATGGTGATCCTCGGTGACATTCAAGAGGGAACGGTTCGATTAGGAGAGCAGCGAAATGAGATAGGACTCCTTCATTGATAACACTAGAATATGATATAACACAGCGTTGAACCGCACCTCCAGGGCCCTAGAGGAATTATGCGCACAATCAGCGTCCAAAAAGGGTTACGTGTTCATCTACTCATTCCATCCCTAGGGTAGAGTAGAATTTGTTTCCGTGATAGTTTCCCCTCGCAGCAAGAATTCATCTCATCTCAACAGTAGATTCAGGACCACCACTTGTGGATTGATGAAACGACGAGCGGCTGCGTTTCGTTGTTCATGGAAGCAGAATCCCCAACAGACACAGGCTCCTTCAGTCAATTCATTCTTTCGTTCTTTCATTCTCTATTCCAAATATCCCCTCTTCCTTAGCCCATGTTCTTTTCCTTTCCTGATCCATCATGCAAACAAACAAGAATAAGACATACCCGGAGAAAGACACAGACGGACAAAGTCTATCAACACCCCTAGAGACTGACACTTGTTCGTATGATGATGAAATATGGAGGGATGTATGGCACCTAGGTACATCATCAGTGCTAGATGAAATCCTGTGGTAGGAAGAGATATTCAGGGCAAGAGAGATGTGTATAATAATGGATTATTAGTTCGAAAACGCCTAAACTATGGCTCCTACGTGAATTTCAAGGGCGAGAGGGGACTTCACCCTTTTTTTTTTTTTTGCCCCTGCTTTCCCACTCTCCATTCTAAAATTACCAGCAGGAAACACGTGTGTCAGTCGAAGATTCGATATTGATTCTGTTCCATGCCTGGCACCCGGCCTGGGTACACATTTCTTGCGTGGCACGCACGCACTGGGGTTACGCGGGGTGGAACTGGAACGGGCACCCCTAATGGAAATGATCTAAATGACGGAACGGGTGAAGGGGGTTATGTTGTATGTGTGAAATGCGGGAAGCTTTTATGATGTAATGTATCATGCCATCGTTGAGTAAAAACAATAATAATATCAATAACAAATCGGGCCAGAAAGGCGCGGAAAACTGGGGGCTACACGGTTAAACGTCTCGGGTGTGATTGATCCTCTCGCTTGTTGAAATGACCCAAGTGCTTGGTGACATATGTAACTGATCTTTACCCACGCTGGGACGGAGAACCCCGATCCCCGGCTGTCGATCTACTCACAGGTAGTAGTTGTGTATATTGAATGAAAAAAAATAGATAGGGCCATTTTATCTGTGGGAGGACAGAAGATTTCACAACCCCCTCATCTGACTAGATCATATGCAAAACTTTTCTCTGAAACCGTGTTCTGATGAAATTGGTAACTTGAATGTAGAGACAATAAGGTAAAATAGTAGATTGATTGATTTAAAAAATAATGAAGAAATGAAGAGTAGGAAATGATAAAAAGGTGAAACATAACTTGTAAGAGACACAGATAAGGTTGAAAAGAAAGAGAGAATAGAGACAATATAACCTAGAGACAGGACTTGCGCGACGAAAAAAAGGGAGAGGAAAAGAAGATCAGAGAAAAGCAGGGTTGAACAAGCAAGAAGGATGGAAAGAGAAATAGGTAAAATAGTATAATTGGAATATAATATATAAAAAGAAAGCAAGAACTAAAAACAAAAAGTTTGATAACTGGATTCTAGATGACGAGATTTCACACACGCATGAAAGAGAAGTGAACCATAAAGCCAAACAAAGACAGAAACAAAGGCGACAAACAACAAACTAGGCACAAATATAGACCCAGTTTCAATTGAGGAAGGGTGGGAGAGAGAGATTTGAAGAAGGGAGCATTATTTTTTTTTTTTTTTAAAAAAAAAAGCATAAAATAGATGAAGAGCAAACCGAGTATAGCAGAGAGGATGAAAAGGAGTTAATAGACGGGAAAAGCCGACTGCGAGCTACATGAACGTTGTATTTAATGGTCTTGATCCGCACTAAGGCGCTCTTCTTCTGCTCACCTACCCAAATATTATTCGGGAAAAAAAAAAAAAAAAAAAAAAAAAAAAAAAAAAAAAAAAAAAAAAAAAAAAAAAAAGGAACAAGTCTTCACATGCATTGTTGGATACGGTGTGATTTGTGAGGGAATGGACGGGCGAGAAGGTGGGATTTAGATGAAATGGCGATATAGGTATAGAATAGCGACGCAGGAATTTCAAGGAATGGAATAAGGACAGTTGAAAATGAAATAAGATAAAAAAATAAACAAAATGAAAAGAGAGGTAGGGTAGAGAGAGAAGGTTGTAGAGGGACCAAATATAAAATAGAGATTGGGTAAAAACGAAAAAAAAAAAATGTACTGTGAAATACGCGCCCAGAAATGAACGAGAACAAGGAAAGAAAGAGAAGAATAGGGTGGAAAAATGGAGCATACAACAGGAAATAAACTAGAGTTGAGGTTGAAGGTTCGTGCGGTGAACAATATATGTAGCGGTGAAAGGTGAAAAATATAAAGGGGCGTTGGGCAGGCGAGATTGGACCAGAGTAAATTGCTGGTGTTGCCTTTGGCCCGACTCGACAGGGGAAGTACAAAAATAGTGATATCAGGATGGGAATACTTTTGTTGGCGGGGGAGGGAGGAGAGTAAATTGTTGGCTCCTCGGGGACAAAACCTGAGCAGGAGGGAAATGGCGGTATAAGAAAAGTAGGTGGTTGGGGAGAATTTCGGTCCATTAAAGCAATACAGGAATGCGAACTGAGAGTCAAAAGGGCGTTCTCGTATTTCGAAGCTTCCGTGGATTTTGAAAAGAGTGTCGTCCAGCATCATTCTATCGACTCGTAGGGTATTTAAATTTGTGTTTCTTCTCTTTTGATTCTTCCGTAGAAAGCGGAGAATGATAAATTGTCTGGTTGCATGTGTATCGTGGTTCCGTCTTCGTATATTTTCTTTAAATCTGTTTTCCTTCTTTATTTTCCTTTCCTTTAATCGCAGTCAACAATTCTTTGTTTTTGGTCGTTTAACGAGGTTTTTCCCCATCTACATGATGGCGCATTTTGAGCAGCATCCCTGCGCGTCTTCGCGGTCGTCCATGTCCATTTTTTCTGGGGCTCGGGATCCATAACCGCCTCCCCCCGACGAATACGATGACATCTCTTTGTTATAGCGGCGAATTTCCCGTACGATATCGTAGAACGCGTTGTCAACATTCGTGCGAGATTTCGCGGAGGTCTCGATGAATTTGCAGCCAAAGTCGCGGGCCAATGCTTCACCCTCTGTAGTTTCCCACATATGAGCGTTAGTGCTGTAAATAAGGGGATTATATATAGTACAATCATCCGTCGTAATGCATTATCAAAATCAAATATTCTATTGAAGGCCGATCCGTACCTTGTTCAGACACGACCCGTTCTTTCACCAAGTCGCACTTATTGCCCACAACAATGATGGGGAAATAGTCCTTGTCCTTCACGCGCAGTATTTGTTGCTGATAAGTCATGATTTCCTCGAATGACTGTCTAGAAGTGATGGAATAGACCAGCAGGAAACCCTCGCCTGTCCGCATGTATTGTTCTCGCATTGCTGAGTATTCTTCCTGTCCAGCTGTGTCAAGAACGTCCAGCAAGGCAACCTCATCGTCGATAACACATTGCTTCCGGTATGAATCTGTTTTCACGGAGTTTTGGTCCCAGTGTAAGTTACCGCGGCCAATTGTTTTTGATGGGGAAAGGGAGCAAGGAAACCACGGGAACGGGGCTGCCCACCTTCGATTGTTGGATCGTATTCATCGACGAAATGACTCTGGATCAATTGGATGGTCAAACATGACTTTCCAACACCGCCTCCACCGACAACGACCAGCTTGTATTCTCGAAGGAACTGTTGATAGAAAACGACGAAAGGGACACGAGTTAGTGAAAAATACCAAAAGGTGCCTGGCCGGCTATTTACTTCTACCCTTTCCCTCGGGAAACGGACATTGGGATGGATGGATGGATGGAGGGATGGAGGGATGGAGGGATGGGATTGAGACGGGAGAGAAGGAGATGGAGGAATGGCGTTGAGTTGATGCTACTAACCTTTGAAGCCATGGTGACAGCAATGTGGTTGGTTGTGGTGGTCTGGGGTTGCAGAGAACCGAAACTCGTGGGAGGCTTGGACTACTACAAGTCCAGGTGAAGGGAATGATGACGACAAAGAAGCTGATGACGACAAAGAAGCTGACGACGATAGAAGGATTCAATTGTAGCCCTTGGTGGAGAGGCTGGTTTGAGCGATAGTGGAAGGGTAGGGTAGAGAGTGTTCTAGGGAGGAGAATGGGCGCCAAAAAATAAAACGAAAAAAACTACCTGACTACACCGGGGGGGGAGCGAGATTCCGCTTGAGGCCACAGAAAACAAAAGCCAAGCCTGGACACACAGTCAGGGGTGAATTGGAGAGAAAGTTGGATAGTTGGGTGGCTGGACGAGGGGAGAGGAGAGAGAACGATGATGGAAGAGAAGAGATGAGGTGAGGTGGGAATAGAATGGATGGATCGATGGATGGATCGATGGATCAGTTCTGACGGCGCTTTCTTCCCTTCCTTGATGATCGAGAGACAAATAATAATGGCTGGAGGCGGGGATTGGATTGTCGAACTGTGGTCTGCGGTGTGGCTGTGGTTTGGCGGTGGGTTCTGGATCTGGAGTAATCTGTACGTAGTTAGACCAACCGGAGCTACTGTTGTTAGGCGGGTTTAGGGACAAACTCGGGGCGGTAGGGGGCTGGTTGGGGCGCGTTATTAGGGGTGCGGTTTGGATGGTTGCGGCCAAGGGTTAGTGGGTTTAGTAGGTTTATTAGTTAGGTTATTTGTTGGTTGGTTTAGTCGGTTTAGTCGGTTTTGTAAGCTTCTTCGGAGGAAGGTGTGGTGTAGTACTCCGTACGCTGTAGTGGAGTTGGGGAGGGGAGGGAGTCAGTCTGGTGAACACTCACTCACTCGCAAGAATTGTGTGGTTGCTGCATAGAGTATGTAACTACTTAAGGGAGTTTCAAGGATCAGGGAGCACGAGTTACCCCCAGGTGAACCAACGAATTACACATTGCATTTTCTATTCCACAGCCAAAATGCTACATTCCTCCTCCTGCTGCTGTTGTGACTCTACTTGATATCAGATGGTTGGTGTGTGCGTGTGTACCTATACAAAGGGGGTTGGCATTGTGTTGCCTGGACGGAGTAGTTACTCCGTACGGAGTAGTTAACTAATGAAGATGCCATTTGTGACTTTGGGCCACACGGTTGTATTCTCCAGACTTAAAACTCCTCCTATACATCTCCCTCTGTACATGTACTGCATCTACTTGTACAACCCCTGGTATACACAGAATATACCTGGGTAGATAGATATATCTTATCTTCACAGAACGCATCCAATATAATAAAGCTCCAAATGTCCCAAAACTACTCCCGCAGTTCGTGATTTTCCTATTCATCACCCATTAATGAACCCTATTATCAATGATATCCATCTATTCGTCGCCATCGGAGGCGCGATCACAGACTGCCAGATTTATTAGCCCAATCGCCCACCTTCTTCTTCTCGCTTCTAGGGTTTGTGTGCCCTCGCTGCCCGCGCTGCCCTCTCCTCCTCTCATCCTGCATAGGCGTTGTTGCAGTTCGAAAGTTAACCTTTTGCGTCGTATGGTATGGCCCAGTTCACCCGCGCTAGCTGCGCTCCAAGCGCTGCATGGCATGGGCTTTTTTCCTTTTCTTCATCCCTGGCTCAGTCAACCCTATAAAGTCGTCGTATTTGACCGCCGCCCCCTCATGCACAGAGTCGTGGGCAAAAATGCAAGGGCATGCAACCTGAACCCGCATTTCCAGCTCTCTTGGCCGGCTCTCATTCGCACCAGTCCCCAAGACGGCTAAGTTACCTCGAACGATGAAAAGTAAGAAAAGAAAAAAAAGAAAAAGAAAAAGAAAAAGAAACGATAGTTAACCCTGCACAACATGCACACCAATGACATCTCCTCCAGTCGGCAGTCCAATTCGGGTGGAGACTGCTTCTCTCGCTGCTCATTTGTGCGCTCCGCTCTCAAGCTCCCTCCATTCGCCCTCCGATCACCCTGTTGTGAATCCATTATTATCCTACGAGCAATTGCTCTCTGTTGTTCTCTTTTATGTAACCTTCTCGCTTTTCCTTCATTTTCGCCTTTTAACATCTTCCGGTTTTGATAACCAACACTACGCTGTAACTTCAAAGCTTAAAGAGGATGAATATGACATTCAACTATGTACGGGCTGGTCGTAACGAAGCCGGAGGCTAAAAGGAGAACACGAACAGCGTTCCAATGGGACCCCCTTTCTCCCAATCCACTCTTCCTGTCCCTGAAGAAGCTGTCTGGCCAATTGGAGATGGCTACTAAATAAGAAATCATGATGGTATCATCGTCGTTCATGGGAATTTGCTAGCAAAGCCTGCCCCAGGCTTCATTATTTGGCACAGGCCAAATATGGCGTAAATTACAGTAGCTAATACCTGAGGACCCCACTGACTGCCCACCATAATCCTGAAAATCTTCAAAAAGAAAGGTCCCTCAATGACAGAAACAAACGTCACTAGAAGTCGAGGCTGGGAGACAAGCATCACTTGCCCGCCGCTATTCAGCAAAAGCCACGAATATTTCCTATCTCAGGATGTCCACAAATTTGCACATGCGACACGACATGCGATGCATGCAGCACAAGACGCCAAGCTAACAAGCAGTTCGGGTCCCAGATATCTGGATTCTAAGATAAGCATTCAAGCGTTAAAAAGTCATCGACGAACCAAAGTTGAGGATAAAAGGGGCGTTGACCTCAACCCCACTTTCTCTGTATTCGAACTTGAGAACCTGTCAACAACATGCGCAGTAGTGGAAACAAATTTAGACTAACATGGGAAGGTCAGCGCTTTATTTTTAACATTATTGCTGTACGAAAGGAAGATAATAACCCCGTAAGCTTATTGGACAAGGGATGATGGGGAATTTGATGACATCAGAGACACCACCACCAGCATATGACAAGGTTCCGCGGTCCGCGGCATTATTTCTGCATTATTTGATGATTTCCCGTTTCAATGCTGGAAAACCCGCTGAGAAAGAAAAAAAAAACACACACAATTGTCTACTACTACTAATTTAAGTGCAGCATGAAGGGAAGGAAGGGCGCTGCTGGAGTGAGTTAGTTAACCCCCGCGAAATTCCGTGCAGAAGAAACAGAAGAAAATCATCGATCAGTCCCGTCTTGGTCTAATTTAGGTCATCAGGCTTATGACATTTCAGCGCCAAACCAAAGCTCGTCCAGCAAAACATCGGGATCGGATACCAATTCTGACAGCCAGGAAATATCTCACATATTTATTTATGGGACACGGCAGTGTGCCCAAGGTTTTCCAACTCTGCATGTTTCATCCTTGCCACATAAGCTTCCCGTCACCTGACTTAGCGGAGGTTCCTCTCTGGCTAATTGGAGAAATCATTCTTCTTCCTTTCAGACCATCCTTCCATGAAGCCTTCCATGAAGAATCCAAAAATCCCTGTTTTCCAGTGGGACGGTCTAAATCGCATGATCGGGAAGCTTCTCTCCCTTGTACGGAACAAACGGAAGAGAGCAAATGGCGAGAATAATTATCCCTCTATTCAATCCGCAGCTATCCTAGTTTCTGAGGACAATATATACCTTCCTTGACGAATGGATATGTCATGCAAGGATGAGGTACTACCCTGAATTACGTTGGGTTTCTGTCCGTTCCAGAACCGAAACCTCAGGCATGTAATGGACTTTTTCTCCCATGCAGGTGGATGCTAACATTCGCTACCCCAGATGCCCGGTTCGATTCTCACACACTCATAAAAATAGGTTCTTTATGCATCCGCCCGACAATGTGCCAGTTGACTCCTTTGGTTGATGGTTGGAGTGAGGTTTTGGGCATTGTTCCTCGCTCCCGGTTTGCCCTGTTGCCCTTTCACCACCGTCCGACACCGACTTTATATATGAAGTATTCTACGGCCGTCGCCATATAAAATGTTAAAGAGGAGGGGGTGGGGGGGGGAGAGGGGGGTCTTGGTGGAACCGGGAAAAGATTAGGTGTCATTTTCTAGTAAGTCAACTTGGATGCATATCTAGAGAACCTAGCCGTATTATATGTATGTGTGTAGGTTGTTTCTGTTCTGCGCATGTGCTCTCTGTTGGGTAGATACAATGAACATGTATAGAGTGCGTTCATACATAAGCACTCTTACCTCACCCAGGGCGCTTTGCGAAACAAGGGGGGAAGGAAGGGGGGGAGTAGAAATAATGAGTTTAGAGAGAGTTGGATTGTGAGTAACAAGTTCAGAAGTAAATATGTACATGTACATGTAAAATGTACGGGGTACCGTGTAGATTGTGTATGCGCGCATGAACTGGTGCCTATCATTTAAATATTGTTGCTACTCCGGCTGTGGTGGTTAAATAAATACTGTGAAGAACTCAATTAGGATGCCCTGAAACATTTTACCCTCCCTTCTTTTTTCTTTTTTTTTTTTCTCGCTCTTGTTTCGCATTAACATGTAGGGAAATCGGGGGTAGATGAAACAAGCGGCTTGTGTCAAATCAAATCACAAAACAGTTAGGGTTTTCTACATAGTATATGCTGCCGCGCAGTCGAGCAGGCGAGGTGGTGGGAGTTATATACCAGGTATATACATATATATAGGTGTTTTAGGCTAAAAGAAAACGGGCGGAGGTGAGGCGGAGCGGGGCCCAGAATATTTTCTCTCAGGATGAATAGGAGGACTATTAGCGGGGAAATATGTTATTTTTATATATAACTACGATTCAATCAATCATAGAAATGAATTGGTCTAGATCGGCCTTCGCTTGTAAACGTTCAATAAATAGCAAACCCAAATTCCGTTTTCCTTACTTCGGACTCTCCGCCTCATCTTCCGGCGGGTCATCCTCATCCTCCCTCATGACTCTCCGCCCCTCCACATTCTTCTCCACCTCATCAATAAGGCTCTCCATGTACTTCAGATCCTTCCCAACCAGCGTCACCGTATTCCGCTTCTTGCCCCACCGCGGATAACTACCCACCTTGATACCGTGCGGCTCGACCCTCGCCGCCAGCTCTGTCAGATACGGCGCAATCGTACTCTCATACAATGGCGTCGCGAACAGGAGCCGATGCATCCCATCCCCATCTGGATTAACTAGACGGGGTTGTAGCAATGGCTTAAGCGCATTGCACAGGCGCTCGAACAGCAGCGGCACGCCGGGGAGGATATAGACGTTCCCGTTGACAATGGAGACGGGCAGCCAGAGGTCGTCCGCGACAAATAGAGCCTGGTCTTTCAGCGGGATGGCTTCATCTACGGGTATCTGGACCATGCGTAGTCGTGCCGTGAGTGCCGGCGAAGGGGTATCCCAGTCGAAGTCTCGTTGCGCCTGTTGCGGTTTGGAGAGGTTGCGCATCCGCGCCAGGGCCTCTTCGTGTAGCTTCAGCTTGAGGCCAAAGGCCCGTGCTATTGATTGGTAGGTAATGTCATCGTGGCTGTTTTTATTGTGGGGTGTATGTGGTGCTGGGATTGGATGGCGGAGATGTGGATAGGTTGTGATTCGGTTGTGATATCCTCCGCGACCACCAGCGCCCACAGCCCGCGGGCACACACCCAAGAAGTTAGTATGCATATGTAGCGTGGTGATAAGACTGTGAGGTGGACAGGGGCTACGTATGCATTTGTTGACACATGGGAATGTATGTACATATGTATGCTCTCCATGCTTAAGAGGGGAACGACGAGAAAAAAAATGGAGGGGAATTTGGGGATTGGGGGATAGGAATTTCAGGAAACGAACGTTGGGCCGATTCCTCCGCTTGTTACAACGAAGTCGTATTTTTCGCTCATCCGTTTTACAGCTTCGATAATCTCGCTCTCATCATCTGCAATGACCTCTATGCGCTTTAGTGACACGCCCATTGAGAAGCAGTACTTTGCGAAAAAGGGGGAATTGGTGTCGGCGGTCTGGAAGGAGGGGGTTACTCCCAGTGTTAGCGTAGCTGGTTTTTGTTATTTATATCAATGAACCCAGTAGATACAGTCCCCAGTGCCCGCAAGAGAAATAAAATTAACGCACCTTGCCGCCTAAGACTTCGTCGCCGATTATCAGACATGCTGCTGTGCGTATCGTTTTCTTGCTGTTCGCCAGCGCTGTCACCGTATATGATGTCATGGAGAGCGGAGACCCAATCGGACGGGCTGCTGTGGCAGCAGGAATATGTACGGAATTGGGTCGTGGGCGGGAGAGACGTCTGACTAGCTGGTTGATGCGGGGAAACATTTATCTTGCGTGCGCAGACAAAGAATTGGGCAGCAGGGGGCTAGCGGAATTTGGCTGAACAGGGCTTTTATCAGCTTGGATGTTTGGAGGGATATAAAAAGAGCCGACCGAAGCTTGGCCCTTGACCGAGACCCGAGCAGAAGCGAGCGGCTAAGAAGGTGCGGCAGTGCTCGCGGCTAACTCCTCCAACCCAACCTGCCTGCCCCCACCATCGTCGTCACCCGCCAACCAGCCCTTGGAAACAATATCAGACAAAAAGTCCCTTGTCGGCTGCCAGGGAAAGAATACTTACTATTCAATTATTGACATATTTGTCGATAAACCCCTGTTCCTCTCCCATCCCCTCAGTTTCTATACATCACATCGTACAGCGGTTCGAGAGAACCACCCGTAACATCCCAAGATGGTAATCCACTTGCCCTAAGTCATCTATTCACGCCTAATTCAGTCAAGCTCGCATAGAAAGCTAACATGCAAGTAATAATTGTACAGTCCGACACCAGGTTATATTCCTTCTCCCCGGAGACAAAAGAGAAGCTTCGCAAGTTTCGGTTGGGAACGTCTAGAGCGAAGGATCCTCAAGCTATCATCTGTACACCTATCCCCTTTCCCCTATCTAGTGGCCGCATTGCCCTTGAATAGTAATATACATGCTCCTATGCATATATATACAAAGAAAATAGACGAGAGCGCTTTACTATTCGTTTGAATTTCATTTGTCTGGTCATATACGCAACGTTTACGAACGGAATGGATAACCGAAAACCATATATTGGGCTTTGTGAGCCGCAGATATGATCGATTCGAAGAGCCAAGAGGTCCGCCCTGCCGATGACGAAGTATACAACAAGATGGAAGATGTTGCAGACGAACTTCCGGATTCGTCACCCCGGTTTATCCTGCTCAGTTATCCGCTCACGCTGGTAAATGCCTTCCTACCTTCCTTACCTCACCATGTGCATTATCTTATACAGCACGAACGGGACGTTTCGGCGACGCACACCCCAACATTTTTCAAAGCCGATGACGACTTCTTTGTCCTGCTCCGAGCCGCCTAGAAACAATGCTAACATTAATCTTTCGCTCAACTTTTTTTGGGGGGAAATAATTAGTCCTCCGGCCGTCTCTCCGTCCCTTATGTCCTGCTCTACTACCTGCCAGAAAACTGCAACCCCTCATCGCGCATGATGTATGCTGGCGCTGTCGAGCTGATGAGAAACACCGCAGAGGTGAACAGGGTTATCGAAGTTGATAGTGAATCAGATGTGATTAATATCGAGGCGAAGCTGCGAGGTTCGGAATAATCAAGAGAAACCGAAAAAAAAGGGACAATACGGTAGAAATATGTTATATTCCTTACAGGAGTCTGCCATGCTTCCCATTTTCGTTTCTCGAAGATACATACATACTGAGAAATTCGGACGTGTGGTTTAGGACCAACCCTTTTGGGGAAGTTCAGGGGTACATACTTGCATATATTAACTACACTACCTAACCCGAAATATCTATAGAAGCTATAGGCCCGGGGATGCAATAGGCCTGTTGGCACAGGAATAGGCGTTTGCTTTATCTTGTTTTGCATTCTACAAATTTTGGTTTGCATCTGCGTGTCTTTAAAGTGTCCTGTCTCGTGCATTAATTTCTATATTTCCGGCTGTTCAAACCTGTACTTAAGACGAGAAACGACTTTTCTTTTCTTTTCTTTTTTTTTTTCCACGAGCTCCAGGACACTTTGATTTGACATCCCCCTCATTTCCATTAGTATATTTATCCAGTGACTTATTGAGTATATGAAAGCCTGCATTTAGTTCCAGCAGACCCACATCTACCCCAATGATAAAACTTCTCCGACGGTGATATATAAAATGCACGGAGGACCGGAGAGATGAACAACGGTATGACAAGATTTCCCAGTACGTTACACGGTCTTCGATTGCATTGTCTCAATTTATAAATTTAGCCACTTCTATATGTATTTACAATATTATTTTGCAGCTAGCTGTTCATCACAGCACGTGAAGGGTCTTATTCTATCTTCTTTCCGTGGGCTACCGAAAGATGGCATTTGATATCACCACTGATGAATATGTCTATCCCATCCTTTTATGATGATTTCTTGTACATGGCTGTGGGTGATGCCTGGAGGATATTGTCAGTATGATGCCAACGGGGTTTTTTTTTAATCCTTAGTGTCATTGATCACTACCTGCATCAAGGGTCATGCAACATACCTGATGCTGAGGAAATATTAAGGTATCGGCGATAACGACGTTCTCCCTACGACCAGCTGCGAAAACAACAACTTCAGCGATATCATCGCCCGTGAGAGGCTCGCAGCCACTATATTTTGTTAATCAAGACATTTCGAGCGTATAGTTTAGTGGAGTGATTGGAATTTTATACTTACGCATAGACGGCGTCGGCTTTGGACTTGTCTCCATAGAACCGAACGACGGAGAACTCCTTTTCCAAGTATATCCAATCAGCAATTCTTCGATTATTCAAGAAACAAACCCAGTGGATAACAATATCTATTAATAGGAGATATGGTCTTACCGTCTCCACCTGGCCTGGGTCAATCTCAATAACCCGAATCCGCGTTGCAATCAGCTCCTTTCTCAATGCATCCGTGAAGCTTCGAACCGCAGCCTTGGTTGCGCAGTATATGCTACCACCTGGATATGATTCTCTTCCAGCAATGCTTCCAATGTTAATTATATCGCCCCTGCCGCCGTCATCTCTCTTTTTGAAGATAGGCAGAATTGCCTGTGTCATGTTTATAAGGCCGGTGACGTTTGTGGAGAACATAATGTCCGTATCTTTGGGGTCGATTTCAGGGGCTTTGGCAACGCCTTTGACCAGTCCACTGTTGAAGTTTCATCCATATTAGTTAGTCATCCAAAAACTTCCCAGTGAAAAACAATGTTAAAAGAGCAATTAACCCGTATCAAGACCTTGGGGCGCTCACGCATTATTGACCAGAACATCAATCTCCCGAAATTCCGCTGGCAAGGAAGGGACGAAGTTGCTGATTTGCTCGGGACTGCTAACATCTAACTGGACCGGCAGGACTTTAACACCGTCGCCAACTTCCTCCTTGATCTCCTGCGCGAGCTGCTTCAATGCGTCAATCCGTCGCGCGGTGACGATCAATTTGAGGTTCTTCGGAGATGTTCTTGCGAACTCCTTAGCCGTGCTTTTTCCAATACCAGAGGAGGCGCCCGTGATAACAATGGTTTTGCCTTCAAGGCGCTTTCCCATCGCCGTGGCCATGGTTCGTTTAATATATGACTGTTTCGCAAGTTGAGCAATGGGGTTGCTGTGGAATGTTGGTTTGAACGAGCGGGGCTTAAAGGATCGTGGAGCGTAGAGCTGCGCGAAGTTACCGATTACACGGCTGTGAGATCGGAAACAGTACATATGCGATCTATAGATCTATTGCAACTGAAAGCACTGCTAAGAATCGGTATGCAGAGATGATAAACGAAACAATTCGGTATATCAGTTATTATGGTGGAGTCATAATATCTTACCATACCGTTCCCCGCATCTGGCCGGCTCTGGTGATGGGTGTTACAATACGGAACGTAAATACTAGGTCACCATTGCCCAAGGGTGACATTGGAAATGAGACTCATGTTCAGAATCCTTGGAGAAATTCTCTAGTACTGACTCATTTGAGCGTACTGCTGGAAGCATAAAGAAAGGTTATTATTGCTTTCACATCCGGTAGTTGTTTGTTCTTTGCAGCTAGTTGTTGGATAATTCACAGCCATTAAAAGCAATAACCGTGCCAGTTAACTTAATGGCTGAAATAATATTTCCGGGTTTCGGCGTATGGAAAAATACAGCTGACTCAGCGGCCAAAAGGAGCTACGAATTAGCCGCGCGAGACGCTTTTGACCGGATTAGGATATCTCAACCTCATCTTGACAAGCTTGGTTCAACTTCTACTTGACTGACAAAGATGCGGGTTTCAGCAACATTTATGTCAAAAAAAGTGGCATGTTGAATCAAAAAAGCTCTATGTTTTGGCCAACGTCATACACCTTGTTTCTTTCTTTATGAGGAGAGCGTCTTTCCACTTATGTGGAACCTCTTTGAGCATGTTTAATGTTCCAAGCTTCTCAACCTCACAGTATGGGCAAGAAAGAAATTGAAATGTTCATTTGATCCTGGTGACTGAATGGGCCACCTGCCTAATTATTCGTCTAAGGGAGTTTTCTACCTACTTGCTCAACCAAGAAGGGAATGTCCATTCAACCAGCTGCTCTCAAGGGTGTTAAGCCAGTCTAGAGCTGCATTGTTTCTTTTCATTCCTTGCTACTGTTCCCCTTTAGGCACGAATGTGCGGCTTATAGACGGGTTAAAAAATGGCTTGACCCAACATTTGTAAGTATTCAGCTCTCTCTTATAGCTCTTCCGCCCATCGGTTAGATACAGAAACGAATTGATTGTTACCGCACCATTTCACATTGTTTCCCAATCAGGTTTGCCACTTGGCAGTTGGGTTTTTGAGATACTAATAAGAAGAGCCATCCAAGCAGGAGGATATAACACAATGTATAGTGATAGGCCGAAGTATAACAGGTTTGCTAAGCCTCCCGCCTCGCCTTCGCTGGTCTCTAGAGCTGAAGGTTCCTCCTATTATGTTCATCTTGCAGAATATTCTTGCTAAATCCACGAGTTCGTGGAATCCGCCCTCGCTTTTTTGTGAAAATGCTCTGCCACCGATGTTTATATGCTACTTACAAGAAGTAGCTTTTCTTCTACTCTGCTCTGCATTGCTAGGGATCCTATTTCTGTCTCTAAACATTCTATTTCTTTTACTTTGCTGACTTGTGGCAAAGTCATTTTCCATTTTCCATTGTATGCTTTGTTTTATTTTTGGAGTTGTTTCATTGCCCATTGGAAATCACTCACAATGCAAAGATATGTTTCGTTCTATTAGTGGAACGAGCTCGAAGTTTCACTCCACGCTCCCTCTACGCTCTATACATACCTCAGTGTATGGTGGAAGTTGATGAATAACCTCCTGCACCTTAAACATCCCCTTTTACCATCACAGCTTCATCATTTTCATTCCCCCTTTACTAATATTTGATACGATCTTCTACGAACCGAATTCCTCATAGTCATGCCATTTGGGCTCAGTTCAAAAATTCAACATTTTCAAAATGACTCTATCAAGCCAACAGATGCTGATGAATTGTTTGGTATTGAGCATTTACCACCAATAGTTGATAATTACTGGGAGGACCAGAGCCAATATGAACTTGGACTATTTGCAGTCCGTCGTCTGGATGTTTTTCCAGAGGCATCCGCTTCAAGTGTTCCTGGGCCCAGTGATATTGAGGGTTCGCCCAGAGAAAGAAAAAATTTCCGTAGGGAAAAACTTAGGGGCTCCGTGCAGTCTCAAGAGCGAACCAAATATGTCGGGGCGGCTACTTCAGACGATATTTTAAGTCTGCTCAAGCCGGAAACTTTTAACTGGGCGGATGAGGTCGAGCAGTCTGCTGAGCAAGAAGAGGAGGATCATAAAAATGCTTCAATGTTCTTTGTGGTAGACTCACTGGAGCATTCAAATCCTTCAGGCCCACCTGCCTCGTTGAACGATCCCTTGGACACCAAGACGCTACAGGAGGGCAGCAGATTGCAAGATATTGATATACATTTGGACAACATGCCACAGTATCTAGCGTTGGCTCCAGCCAAATCCCCATTGAAATTGGTGTCTTCCGAAGCGGCAAAGGAAATGGCGCGACAAATTGACTTGATAAGGAACTATCCCAACATCCACCACTTCAACTGGCTTGGGGACGCCATGATGGAACGCAGCTACACTTCTCCAGAAATATCGTTATTTGTCATCGTCTCTCCGCCAAAGCCCTTATATTCGGAGCACTTAATGCGGCAAGCAGTAACACTTTGGCAAGCAATGAAATTCGTGGACCCCATCCTCTATCGCGGTCGCTGGGAAGACTTGACCTTTTCTGGACACAGGTTGTTCAAGGCCGTCACCGGTCAAGCGTTCCAGTTGTACACGCCAGTTGGTACATGGCAGCATGATGCTTCCGACCCTGACTTTCAAGAGCCGGTCGTTGACTCCTCAGATATGCATTCCTATGCTAGTGAGACAGGAATTCCGCTTAACGGGTGGTTAAGCGTCCATTTCGCGTTTACCCGTGATGAATACCTCGATCAGGCCAATAAACATTCTGAGCCAAAGTCGAAGGAAAGACTAGAACGCCGGCCGTTTAGAAGGTCCCCCCTTCAGCAATGCATGGTGGCAGATGACGCAGGCGACGCACCATACAGCAAGGCAGAGACCAGCTGAGACGCCCAATATTCGAAGAGCAGCGATGTACTTATCAAATCAAAGGTACTGCTCACAGTTAAATTCTATCATCGGGGGAAGATAGTAGTGGACGCGACCACCGGTGAAGACCAAGACTGCCCCAAACAATCCCATGAACCCGCGCGCGGCCTCATAACGTATCTAGAATGAAGATGAGACTGGGGTGGAAAAGGGTCATCAGCTGGCGGCTGACATATCACATATATATTCTTCCCAAAATGTCGTTTCTTTCTGTATATCTGCGCTGCAAGTCCAGATCCCCGGCCCCTCTCTATTTATTCAAGCAGCGGATTCCATGATCATTTAGTAGTTAGCCAGGCGCTGGAGCCAAATGGCGCGTGTACCCATTCTCAGAGAGGGGCGTTTACTAAGAGACGGTCAACATCTATTGTTTTGCGAAAAGTTTTCCTGCACGTTCACCGATCTGGATTTTCTTTCGCCCGTACAGAGCGACCTGGGGCTTCAGCGGTGGAATTTACACATTTGTGGTAACTTGGCGGCCAAAATCCTATCCATTTTAAAAAATACTTCCCAAAGCGTTTCCACAAGCTATGCAATTATTTCTTCCCGAAGGAATCTTCCAGAAATATTTAATAATTTTGCATATATATATGGATTCCGCCTTCCATCTGCAGCTGCATGCGTTCCTCCTATCTCGGCTGCATCGGCTGAGTAGAACCATATTAAATAGCTCTAGTCCGCGTTCAAGCTCCGCATTCTATCCCCGAACCACGACAAACTCGCTAGACAAGAAGCCTGTCATTCCCCGCTTACGCTTGGGACGCGGGCGGAGTTCTTAAAAATAATAGCATGCAGTTATCCGGTGACATCTCTACACGCCGGCCCCCCGATTTCAACAGTGTACTTCGCATTAAAAGGCGGAATGGGGCTGAACTTGAACCGGCAGATTCTCTGTACACCCAAATTTCTATGCATCATTTCTGGCCAATTAGCCGGTGACCGCCTTGCTACATATTTGGCGCGGAATGGAATCTATTGCCGTTCCATGGAATACTTCCGATTAATCACAGCCAACGTCAACGAGTCTCTCTCACGATCAGCAACCACCGTCACTCGTTACGGCTTGCCACGACCCCTCAACTACGGTTGGCATTCACAGCGTGTCATGAGCCAAGATATGACAAGAATGATTCCAGCTGCGCCGCAGCAGCTTCGCTTCCGGTCTCTCAAGTTATTTGGGCTTGCAGTGGCCCGAAGAAATTCATGATAGTACCCGCTGTTGGCTGCCTAGTTAACTTCTAGAATGCCCCTCGGCCTTTGCTGGGATGAATCCGTCTGCAAGTCATCGTCCTCTTCAGCTGCTTTCTCCTATGCATATCTCCCTGTGGATAGTATTGGGATGCGAGGATATAATTTCTCACCGCCTCTGAGGCTACCAACGAATTCGTACGCCATTTATCCCGCATATGTTTTGATTAGCGATAGGCCATCCGTCTGTATAGCGCCTTAGGACTTCAATATATAACGTGCAGATCACCGTGAACTGGCCTTCCGGATGACTGGCGTATTTAATAGGTTATTATTATTGCAGTCTACCCCCGACGATAACGTCGATAAGTCGCTCAAAAGATCTCATTCGACTTTGAGCAGGATATCTTCGTCCAAAATCAGGAAATTTCGCTATCGATTTCGCGACAGTATGTCCTTTTCCCAGACATTCACAGAACAGCCCCAAGAGGCAGGGATTCAGAAACATTACGACATAGTCACCTTGCTTGGCAATGCCGACCAGTACCCTGTGGAAGACGTACCTTCTCCGCCACCACCAGTCCAAAATTACACGGTTGAGAATCTTAAGGATAGGCTCATGTATGTAGATGGCGTTCTGCGAAACTCGCAGAGGAAGCCATCCCCAATCGGAACCCGAGCGCTACACATTTACAAAGACACCTGCGCCCGACTGCTCGATCTTGAGCAAGAGGACGGGGAGTTGACAGGCGTCAAAGACATATGGCGTGCAACATTGCGGAAATACGATCGATCGCTCCAAAATACCCCTTGTCTGCAAGTGGCTTGTTCATCTGATGATCAAATCCTGCAAGATAGGTTGATCACGCTTCAAAAAGCCACATTTTATGCCAGATACGCAGATCTTTTCGCGGAGCTTTCTATACGACCGGAGCCAGGAATTGGGACAGCGGAGCAGCCATACTGGGCTGAGATTTGGAGGAAACTTCAATTGGAAGACGACGCCTCCTACCGATGTGTTTTCAATGGCGTACAGTGTCATCAGGAAAATCCAACGCACTTAGCTATCTATCGAGCTTGGGACCGGATCGGGCTCAGTCGCAGCAATGTGATTCAAACCATACACGAATTCGCAACATGCAAGGATCTAAAGCATATGAACATCCTGCCCATGGTAAAAACTGGAAAATTCGACGACATTAAAAAGCACCTTTATCACGACTCTTCCATCATCCCACTTCTCATTCACGGGGATGACTGGAAACTACTCAGATTTCTCAGCCTCGTAATACAGTCATTAACGGATCTCTGGTTCGACCGCCGTAAAATCGACCCGGAAAACTATCAAATGTGGACATATACGAAAGCGCTTAGGAGCTTGTATAGGCAGCTCCAGGGAGAGGATTATTCTGTTCCGCAAGGGCAGCTGGCCTGTGATATTGCAAGGAAGATCCGGAAGCGGCTACGGGACATGGAGGATGAAGAAAAGGCTATGGAGACCCTTTCCATGACCATCGGGCCGGTACGCCCATCAGGAAATAAAAAGACCAAAAGGGCCGCGGTCTTCTCGGCGTCACAAGTCCGCGCAGAACGGGAGCGTGCTATGAAAATGGCGGCAGATTGGAATTATATCATAAACCGTGTACATGTTGCTGAGGATACATCGCACGCCTCTTGTGGAAAGTATTCCGAACCCGCTGACCCTCTCTAGTGAGTACATCCGGGCGTTCTTTCAGAACCGTTAGCTTTTGACTTTGCAGCGGGTTGGCTTTCGCATTCTCCACGAATCAACAAAGACAATATACGAAGTATAAATAATATACGAAAAGCGCCACTAATCCCCCGGGTGCCTGTGGTGACGGAAGCAAAGGGGTGGATTAAATATTAAGAACTGCTTCTGAGCGGTTTGCTTGGGTGAACTTCCCATAAATCCCTTACCTCGCGATCCACTTAGCCGTTCTTAAATCCGAATCAGTGTCCAGCGAGCAAGAGGCTATCTCCTGAGGAAGGTTCGAAAATACTTTTGCATCTACCAACTTCGACGGATGTCAACTTCCACTTCTTCTACGGGCACTTTGGTGAGTGACGGCCAGCTTCGTTACAAGTTGCTCGATGTCAGACAGCGAGAGGAGTGAGACACGCTAGTATCCAATCTAAAGATTGCTTAACAAGTTTGACAATGGCTCTCCCTCCTTGAATTTGAATAAAGAAGCTGTCTTGTTTCCTACTACATGTATCTGGCATTTTAATACCTTATTGTCCCACAAATTTTCATTTGAGGTTTTCTTGAGTTTCTGACCTAAAATAATATTGTAATATGACATAAACCCAATTTAGGCGTCTATTCTTACATTGACCTTGGGATAGTATGCAAATAATACTAATTTAAAAAGCGGAGTACAAGTCTTGGCTTTTAATACAATACAAACCCAACCCAAGTCCCCTCCTGGTTAACTGATCAGATCTCAGAAAGAATACCAGGCCGAATTGCCTCTAGCTTCTTCTCCAGCTCAGACCAAACTTTGCTCTGTACTTTTTGACCTTCGTCAGTTTCGATCCAAGGCGCCAAAATATTGCTGCAAATAGGATTGTTAGCATTTCCTTCAATTCCCATGATAACCATTGCCAATCCATAGTTCGTGAGAGAATCAGGGGGTTCCGCAGAGAGAAGGGGGAGGAGAGGAGAGGGCGGCACACGCTCCAAACAACTTACTTTCCAACCTCACATTTATCCAGCAGCACTCCATGCGATTCCTTTCCTGCCGTCGTAGCATGCACCAATATGCGGGAGCCTACCTCTGGGTCCCAGGCAAACATGGCGTGGATGGCCGTCAGCATAGCAGCTTCCAAGCCCGTTGTTTGGCGGGTAAGGGAAGTCCTATTGAGTCCGGGGCTAACAAGGTTGATGACAACTGAAGGGATACTGGAAGCAGTCCGGGCAGCAAGCTCCCGTATTGCGAGAAGTTGGAGTAGTTTGCTCGTAGGATAGCTACATGTGATATATGCCGTGCATTTACATAACTCATCATTAATACATATTAAAAAAGTCTTTGTTGATTGAAGGAGACGATAATTTTGGAATTCTACCATGAACAAGGGGGGAAAAGCAAAATGAAATACAAGCACACGTACCGTTCCTGCATGGTCGTTGAAAGCGGATCATTGAGCGCTGCAAATATATCCGAAGCATCACGCTCGGGGAACTTTGCCCAGGAATGAATCTTGGAGCTTGTCACCGTCAGATAAGGGGTGACATTGTATAACTTGGCCGACTGCCGGAGTTTCGGGAGTAAAGATATAGCAAGGAGCAATGTGCTGATGACGTTTATCGTGATCGAGGCCTCGTCGCCCTCGAGGAGCTCATAGTTGCGGTTTGAAACCCCCGCATTCAGCACCACAGCATCCAATCGCCCCAGCCCTGACAATACCCGTCCATAGAACCCTAGAACAGATGCGTAGCTACCATACTCCAGCTCCCAGATCAATGCACGCCCGGGACCTTCAGTCTCTACATTGATCTCTTCAAGGGCAGCTGCTGCTTTGATACTCGTCCGCGCCGTTCCAATGACTGTAGCGCCTAGGCGAACGAAATGCTTAACTGCCTCCTTTCCAAGACCGACATTGGCACCCGTCACGATCACCGTTTTACCAGTGAAATCAGCGGTGGGGAGCGGTGGGTTGGAGAAAGCTTGCCAGAGAAGCCGGGAGGGACCCATTGGTAGTAGTGAGGAAGAAGTAACTAGGCAGTACTGACAGGGCAGGCTACATATGTGCAAGAACCGCTTTCCCAGCGTCTAGTGGCACTAACTAGAGGGATGGGAAAGAATTTTAATAAGAGGTCAAGGCGTAGTAAACAGTTAACTAGTTAAGCTAGAAGTAGGGCGCTCTCGTCGCGTTTGAGATCCCTTAACGTCTTCAATACTAGTATCGTTGGCTCGCCGTTGGGTGTTTGATATAAAAGAAACGTAATAAATAACTAACTAATGCCAAATCACAACTTCGATAGCGTATTTATTTAGATAGACAAGCGGAGGAAGTGTATGAAAGTCCAAAGGGGAACGAACGCCATTGGGCATTTATTTATAATTATTTCCCCTACCTTGAAAAAAACCAGGAAACTGCTCAGGGCGCGTACAGATTCAAATATACGATTGCCTATTTATTGGGGCAACCGAGGTTGAGCTTTAACTGACTCCCCTCCCAAGAACATCCTCAGCCCTTTGAATTTCTTCAGTGCGACAACTACGCGCCGATACAGCGCTATTTTATTGTAGCCAGTGTTCTCCATACTTCTGATATTATGTTCTAACATGCTAGCCCTGGGTTAACTAAATAGTCCATTTAGGATTTGGCATCCATGATTCTTCTTCTACCTGTAACCAACCCCTTGAGCTCTCTATCGTATGGAGCGTGAATCCAAGTTCTCGAGATTGCCCAATACTCTCTCTCTCTCTCTCTCTGGTGCTGCTGTGTAGAGAAGAATTGAAGACAGTGGGAGAGCAGCTTGTTTTGAGGTACCTGCATTCCGGGCTTCCCTGATGAGGTCGGAGTGAAAAGTTCACTCATATATACGTGTATATGCTTGTGAATACATGTACTGCTACTGGATAACATAGATAGCGTTGGCGTTGGCTAGTGGGGAGGGGAGGGGGGAAAGATGATAGATAGAGCAATTGTTCCTATCAAATCGAAAGCCACCTCTCCATTTCATCACGACATTTCGTAAATCCAAGAAGTGAAGCGTATAAGTGAAGCGGGGGAAGAATGAAGGCTAACGACATGGCAACTTTTTTTTTGTTTCGGTCTCATTTTTTTTTCTTTTCCATCTTGAGCCTTTTCTTTCTGTAGTTTCAATCAAGCAATGAAAATGGGGATGGCTACTATAGAAATGAAGGAGATTAAAAGCTTCAGAAAAAGGAGGAAATAAAAAATTGAGGTAATTATAAAAAGACGGAGAAAAAATTCGATAAGTTAAGAAAAGCGAGCAAGGAAAACGACAAAAGAGAGAGAATAAAAGAAGGAAGAACTCGCGTTTGAGCCATTGAAAAAGTCCTATCCCTTTCCTCTCCGCCTTCAGAAAATCCACGTAATTAAAATTCATGTAGCTTGCGCATGTAGGTAGCCGGTATAAACATTAATATAGACAATTAAACCCATCCTTTCCATACCTGCCCAACACCCTTGAGGGTGAAAATAAAACGTGAAGCAAAATACAATAACACCATACTAAATGGAGAAAAGGCGTAAAATAGAGAGGGGAAACGGAAAACATAAGAGGAATAGAGATGAGGTAAAGGAATAGAAAGAGAACACAGAAATCTCTCCACGCAACAACAACACCAGCGACGATTCATCGGCCTCCACCAAATAGTAGATACACCTAACAAAAACACGAGATATCTCCAACCCACCCGCACCTCTCTATTCTCCTCCCAACGCCGCCAACTCCCGCTCCTTCGCTTTCAATGCCTCCCGCATATCTTCCGCCTCACGCTGCAACTGCGCCCGCCTCTCTGCTTTCTCGTCCCCTAGGTCCATTGCACCCGCACCACTAACAGGTGCAGCGCCAGTGGAAGCGGTAGCAGTAGCAGGTGGCAATCCTGGTGATAAAGAAGGGCTGAAGCGGGAAGGGGAGCGGGGAATGGCGGGCTGTTGTTGTTTTTGTTGTTGGTGATGATCTTGCTGTTGTGGTCGAGAGGTGACAGCTGCTGACAGAGCGGGGTCCAGGCGGCTATCGTCACGATCGTGATCGTGGCTTGCTGCCGCCGCGGCCGCCGCTGCTTCGTCTGGGTGATTTAGGAGTGAGGAGATGGAGTTGAAACGGACTGGGTTATTGGCTGCGGAGGTGGAGGAAGGGGCGCCATGTGGGTTTATTGGGGGGAGGTGAGTGGGGGTTTGGTTGGGTTGTTGTTGTTGCTGTTGTTGCTGTTGGGAGTCTTCCAAGAATGATTCAGAGATGGGGCGTTTCTTCGGATTGGGTAGTGCGGGCATAGATGGGCGAGCGGGGTTTATGGCATCGTTGTTGTCGTAGGGTCGTAGTTGCTGAGGAGTGGGGGGAGGATGATGAGGTAGGGAGACGGGATTTGAGGTATATCCTGTGAAGTCGGCTGGGGGCGGGGCATGAAACGCAGGTGGATATAAAGGTCTGGCATGGGGTGACGGATGCCTGTTGCCGTGTTCAACGTTTTGGTACTGACGATGGCTATCACGCCCGTGTGCAAGGGTAGCGGGAGATGCTTCAGGAGATGCAGAGCCATTCGAGGATTGAGTCGCACCAGTGGGTGAATGCTCGCGCATGGCGGGAACCACACGTTTTCTTCTCTTGATAATTGATTTTTTCATGGTTGGTGGTCTATAGGATCCATGGAGTTTATGATAGAGCCCTGTATTACATATCATTAGACTTTTGTCCCAAAAAAAAATTCCGTCCCATGCATTCAACAGGATATATACTCACCACAAGCATTGCAAATAGGATGGCCATTCTCGTCGCGCCTCCATAGCGGAGTTACTGTAGTTTGACAATTCTGGCAAGCAATATGCAGAGTCATCCCCTCGGGATTCGACGAACCAGCTTCACCATCCGTACTGCCACCGCCTTGGTTTGACTGGGGCGAAGTCCTCGGAATATGAAATGCCATAGCGCTTCGAGTAGCTGATTTGTAAACACGGTTGTTGTAAGCAGGACATCCATCGCACCCTTCTGCCCCGCCAGTGCCATTGCAACTTCCTCCACCTGGGCATGATCCTGAAGGAGTACATTCTTTGACGGCATAGTTCGACCACGCATCTGCCTGCCGGGGATCGTTTCCGTCGTTTGTGGGGGACGTGCTACTCCGCGACTTGTCGGCGTTTTGCGCAGGATTAGAGCCATACGGGTTAAGCAAAGAGCGGGAACGATGGGTTGGGCGATCAGTATTCCGCGCCTTGAGATACAAACCGCAGGCGTTACAAATCGTAGCACCAGTCGGAGACCTTCGCCATAATGGCGTTCGTTTCGTACCGCAGTTACTGTATTTGGATGAAGTGGTTAGCGATATGTGTTAAGGGTAATAGATAGAATTAGCCAGAGCGTATGTTAGCAATTTGGGGTGACGAACCTGCATGAATGCCCCGTGAAAACTGGCTCTTTACTTTGCGGTTTAGGGGATTGCTTTGACGGCACTGGACGATCTATTGGATTGACTCCAGATTCCGCTGGTGCCTGATCCTGGCGCTGTTCGACAGGAGCTTGGTGTCCATTTTGTAACTGTGAATCCATCTTCCCAGCCGCATCCTCTTGGATGTTATCTAACGCACTGCCCGCTGTTTCTTGCCTGTCTGAATGGAAGTTTATGGTATTATCTCGTCCACCTCGTGCTGAGGATACCAACTGATGTGCCGCATCCAAATCCTCTGCGGACGGCTGTCGCATGGGAATATCTGCGCTTTTGGTAGTAGGAGATCTCGTATCCTCTGTATGCGGCCTGCAAGCCAAAAGCGCCGTCATTCCTGTGGGTAACAGTTACTGTACACGGTCCGTGTTTCTTCGGAAGTACGACTTCGTAGTCAGATAAACGAGTTTCGAGGAGAAAGGCAAAATTGAGACGGTCTAATTGAGTACTTCTCGAGATGCCGGGAAACGAGGAGCGTCTTGGGCAGGGGCACCAAGACGAGACAAAGGAGTCGGTTCGTGGCGCTGAGGAGGATAGAGACAGAGGAGCGATGTCGACACAGGGAAACGAGATATATAGCTATGCCAATAATATCTGTGCTGTAAGTTTGCAGGATGGCTGTCCACAACGGTCTGCAGCTTCTCGATGACTGGGGACAGCACAGCAGATGTTGTTCCTCACAATCCAAGTCCAGAGCAGACTGATCAAAGATCAGATTAGATTATACAAAGAGACTCCGCCACACACCGAACTTGGAGCTGATCGCAGAACAAAGGAACGGCTCGGAGATAACGATCTCATATAGCTAGCTGCTTTTTCCGGTGAGGTTCCTGTCGAAGAGATTTTACGGGGCAGTTTTGGTCTTTGTTGAGATTTGTCAGGGGAGGAGAAGTGGCAAGATCGACGAGAGGGAGAGAGGAGAGAGAAGGGTGAGCCACCAGCAAGGAGGGATATCGCGAGCTAGCTGGCACGAAGAATACAAGAGAGTGAGTGGGGGGCTGACGAAGGTGGAAGAAGGAGAAGAAGAAGAGGAGGAGGAGGAGGAGGAGGAAAAGAGATGGTTTGGGAGCTGAGATCTTTATTTTTTTTTGGCCGTGGCTCAGATACACCGATTACATTCCATGCTCTCTTGCTTGGAGATAAAAAAAAAAAAGGAGTTGACACGGCCTGTTACCGGGCCAAACGAGCTGTGGGGGGCTTGATACGGCGACCAATATACGGGTAACTATCCTTTTCAGCTATGACCTTCAATAAATTATATTCTACCTATCTACCTAAGTTATATCTGCTTTGATGGAACCAATCCGCCCATAAATAAATGCCTGCGCGAAGCTTCCAAACTCGCGCGGCCGGAATTTCTGATAAGATACCCAGGAACCAAGAACCAAAGGCCCTTGATTATAATTCGCGCTGTTCTCATTGGGCCATGCGATCTGCGCCGGCTGGGTTAGCTGAGGCTATTCAACCTCTAGCGTCCCGAAACCCTCCAAGGCTCTTCTTCTTCTTCTTGTTCTTCTTCTTTTTTAATTAATCTTCCGCCGTCATTCCCCAGAGTTTGAAGCTTCTCTCTCCCTTTTCCTCCAGAACCGTGAGGTTGGCCCGCTCCATGGATCGCATTTACCCGTCGTCCTTTTCCTTTTCGTTTTTGGTCTGAAATCAATTCTGGTTAGCATTGAATAGAATAACTTGATTGAGACTTACTTGTCACCACACCCTTTCTCCCCCAAAGAGGCTATTCCCAGCCGCGAAGAAGAGAATGCTTCTGAATGTCGGGAGAAATCCCCACAACTTGGTTGGACCTTGAAGATGAGTCTTTGACCAGGCCAGGGAATAAATAATGCGTGAGAAAATGTCCGCCCCCCACCTGTTCTTTTTCACTTTAGTTACCTGTTTGATGCGGACTAGCGCGACAGAGAAAAATTATAAATCCGTAAACCACGCATCATAATTGGTTGGCTTAGGAAAACCCGTCCGAAGAGTAAAGTTACCAAGGTATTGTACTGTACATGTATATGTACGTACAGTACATTACATGATATTATTATTATCTCTCTACGGAGTATATATTATAGAAAAACCAACTTTTCTGAGTAAAATGCTCTGTAATGTGATCTCACATGATATCATGTGCATTTCATCAAATTCATGAACAGGCTCTGCAGTCTTTATAACTCTGATATTAATCTTCATTCTTTCTTTACAGATGTTCTCTACTATATTTACATTCTTTATACTCTTCTCTACATTCATTACAATCTATATGTGGCGGGCTGCGCCCGATCAATCATATAGACTATTCCGTTACACTCCACAGATTCCTACCGCTCCGATTCTCGGTCGCCGATCCTCGGCCGAAAACCTACAGAATTTCTATTCTTCCACCCCGAAGCTCCACCATGTACACCACTATGTATGTGTATAAATATTCATTTCAATCACTGATTCTCACACTTTCTCTCTTTCCTTTCCTTCTTTAACATTTTTCACTTTGTTATATAAGACCTATATATTATACTGATCTATTTAGTGTAGACCTCTTTACACTTGAAAAACATTCATTGTCTTCTTATTAGAAATGATTACTCACTGAGATATTTAAACATGTAATAATATGTAAGAAATAGAGAAACAGTTAAACAGTTAAGTGAACACTGAGGGCCAATCAGTTAAGCAGACACTGAGTTCTTAGATAGAAGCTTACTCATCAGTCACTCTGACTCTGTAACAAGATCTTATAAAGAGAATAAGATTTTATAAAGAGAATATCAGTGAAAGATCTGAGAGTTCTGACATAGATATATAAAATATTCATACAATTACACTTCTTTCAATTTCACAGATATTATACATCTGATAATTAACATAATTATATCTAATAATAATATAAGAGAACTCTTGAATACAAGTATAGATATAGTATTACAGTAACTCTAAGTAATATTAAAACTATAATAATAATAAATAGCTGATATACATACAACTTAATAATATTAATATAAAGAGATATAACAATTATCTCAATAAGAAATTCATATAATTTCAATATTTACAGAATTGAATATAAAAGCACTGAAAGAATACTTAAATACTTTTATATATTTTAATACTTCTGATCTCACTCTCTACTCATTATAAAGAATGAAAATGCTTATAAAACTAAGTGTTATTATTATTATTATTATTCTTCAATTATAGATATATATAGTCAGAGACTATAATATCTATCTGAGAATCTTTAATTCTCAGAGTTTTTTCTATATCTATAGAGTCAACTATTATACACTTATCAATTTCAGATATATAAAATCAGAAAATTCCAGCTCAGAATATAAAAACTGTTTATAAATTACAGTATTTTAACATCTTCTAATACTTTGAAATCATTTGAAAATATTATGACAAAGAAAAAGAGAATATAGTCTTAAAGATAGATATTTTAAATAGATAGATAGAAAAGAATAAAAAGAAAAAAGTATAGTAAAGAGAGCTACAGAATAAGATCTCTGCAGTTTATATCTTAAGCTATATATATATTTTAATACTCTATATAATCAACTGCTGTCTCTGTTCTCTCAGATCTGCTTCAGAGATTATTATTTCTTCTAAAGAGTTATCACTCAGCTAGCTTCTATAACTAGCTTATTTATAAGTGAGATTCTTACTAAGAATAATATCAGAGTTACTTAATTCTAGTTAAGTCTCTAATCTTTTAACTATCAATCTCAGTATTTCAGCCTATTAATTGACTGTCACAGTCTTACTTAGACTAATTATCTATTAAGAGTATCTAGATCTTATCTCATCTAGATTCTTACTAGACTCAGAGTATTCTAATTAAATAGTTTTTAAATCTCGATTTTTCAGAAGTAAGTATCTAGAGTGAGAAAGATAAGATCTGACTAGTTAAGCTTGATAATAATTCACTATTCTACAGATATTTTAGATCTCAATCACTCTAGTACTGATCTAACTTAAAGTGCTCAGAGAGCTGTTAATTCTAAAATCAGTGAGAATTAATATCTGAGAATTCTCAGAATGAATATCTTAAGCTTGATAATAATTCACTATAGTGCATCTAAGAGTCTCTGATACTGTTTTATAACTTAACAGTGAAAGCTGTGATTAAGATGACTCTTGCACAGTTCAAACCTGCTCTCTCTTAGCATTCATTTCCCGGGGGGAAGGCTGCTAATTGAGGCTTCATGATAGCATAGTTAACCACTACGCCACCGGGCCTGAAACTAAGTGTAGATGAAAATGTCATTGATTCACTAATTAATCAAGATTGATATATCAATGAATAATTGAAGAATTACATGAAACAGAAGTTTTATTCATGAATAAAAGCATATAAATCAGTATTACAAACATCTGATAATATTATTAAATATCTTAATATTCTGTTCTGAGACACTGTTATACAATAGAAAGTATTAGATTGATTACAGAGTGTTTAATAGAGAAATACTTCTCTTATAACATTCATCTCTGACTTTAATATCAAGATTCTAGAAGCAGATAATCAATCTTAAGAGAATTGAATGAAGATTAGTATACTTAAGAAGATATTAACTTTTAAACTCTTACAGTGTAAGAAATACCGCTTCTTATAAATTCTTTACCTTTATTTCTATCTCTCATGTATTCAATAGAGCTAGCGGCTCTTGACTACACACAACTATATAGACTGAAGTTCATGAATACTATTCATAACTCAGCTTGAATACTTTTATATATTTGATCTCTACATTTTATCTTTCTATCATAAATACTTCTAGTAGTTAATAGTATATATCATGTCAAGCTGCAAATATCTGAATAACTGTCTGTGAGTACTTATTCTTACATTTCAAGCTCAGTCAGTCAGCAACTGCTTATTATAACTGAAAGAACTAGAAACTTATATACTTCAATCTCTGTAAACTCTACTACAGACACTCAGAAGCAGTTATCTGAATCATGAATAATCTCTATAAAAGAAGTCTCAGAGAACTTATTAATTACTCACAGAATATCATTCTCTATATCTATAACAGAGAAACTCTTTAAACTCATGAATAAATCAATCTCAGTGAAGAACATTCTTAAGTATCTTCTACAGAATTAAGCTATTTTTCTACAAGAAATACTTACTGTCTGTAAATATTCTTAAACTGAGTCTCTAGACATAATCTTCAGAGATATCTATGAATTGAAAAGAAACTTTCTTAAGCTGTAATTACTTAAGATTACTTATCAAATCATAATCTATAAAAGCTTTTATAAGTTTGTATTTAAAATTGACTTATAAGTCTGACTGTGTGATATAAAAGATGAAGAAGCTATTATCTATGTAATAACAGATCTTTATTACACTGAAGTCAAGAACTGACTGAATTATCTAGAGAATAATTATAAGAGATCTCACTAATCTGTTCTCAAGATCTATTTAGAGAATAAGTTAAGAGACTCTGTAAGCTGAATAGAGAATATCTGAGCTGTGATTATTAATATTAGAAAAAGAGGTGAGAAATCTGATAAAGACTACTCACAGCATTTTATAGAATTGTGATATAAATTAAGATCTGTGAAAACAGAGCTCTGAAATAAGATCTGAATGATGATATTTATAAAGAGATTAAATAAAGACATGTAAAATAAACTCATTAAGTAAGACTTTAAGCTCTTAACTAAAGAAACTGATAACTCTCATTTACTACTTACAGATCACTGTAAGAGTCACAGACTTATAGAGAGTAAATCACTGACTGACTCTGTAAGAGTCAGAATAACAGAGAACAGATTTATTAGAAAAAGATAATAAGATATAAAGAGATTTATATCTGACTGCTGAGTAGAGAGAGAGAGCTTTATAAGCTCTTATAAATAAAGTATATAATAGAGAGATTAAGAAAAAGAGACTCTACTTTATCTATTCTAAATCAGAACATCTTCATATAAACTATTCAGATAAATTAAAATAGAAATTTAAGAAGTTATAAATAGAGGTAGTAATAGTCTTCTTAAGAGTCTTGAAGCTGATATCTGAATCTGTTACTCTCTTAATAAAAATACTTGTTTATGAAGAGAGACTGCACTGCAGTACTGCTATTCTGTAAGTATAAGAAGTATTAATAAACTCAGAATCTCAGATCACTGACTCACTGTAGTGTTTCTAAAGCTCACAGAGTGAATAAGCTGAAAGATGAAAACTGAGAATCTACTCTTATAATAAACAGAGTGTGAGAACTCAGATCTGAGAACTGAGAGACTTATAAAAGTTATCTTTGAATTATAAGATATCTCTGAAATCTGAAGAAGATTTACAGAAACTGTGATTATCACAGATATTATAAATAACATGTACTTGAGACTTATATAACTTTAAAGATACAATTCATACAAAGCTGTCTGTGAGTCAGGTTTATACTTCTGATCAGTATTGACAGACTTACTTATAAAGATAGAATCAGTTAATACTATAGAGTTGATTAGAGAAGATAAGCTTATCTATATAATAACTTTACAAGTGTCTGAGAATTATATGATTATGAAAACTGAGCTTCAGATATCAGAGAAATACTGAGATCTTATAGAGATATTCAGCTCAGTAAAGATAGCTGAGCTTTCTTCTCATTATAAGAAGAATTTGATAATAGATTTGATAGAAGAGTAGAAACTCTTCTGAAGATCAATTTATAAGCTCTTTTATTATGAGATAGAGATCTTACAGATCTATGTGAATAAGAATCTGAAGAATGACTTTATTCAATTTTCACAGATCTTCATAAGAGTCTCTGTGATATTTATAAAGAAGAAGAATAAAGATCTCAGATTATATATAGACTACTGTAATCTGAACTTTAAGATAATAAAGAGCTGCTATTCTCTGTCTCTGATTAAGAATGTAATCAATTATCTTACAGAAGCTGTTATATTCATACAACTGAATATAATTAATATATATATATAACTGTGAATACAGTCTGAGAATAAATGAAAGACTGTCTTTAGAACTGCACTGAAATTATTTAAATATCTAGTGATATCTTTTAATCTGACTAATATCTCTACAGTATTTCAGTCTTTCATTAATAAAACACTTTGTGTATATCTAAATATCTTCATAATAATATATCTGAATGATGTGATGATGTACTTCATAAAGAAGAAAGAACACACTGAGTATATATGAAGTATATTAAAGACTTTAGATGAGACAGAACTGTATATTAAGCTTATAAAGTATAACTTCAGTATTCATTGAATTAATTTTCTAGAATATGTAATTACTCTAGATAATATTCAGATGAAATCTTCATAAGTTAAGACTATTCTATTATAACTGAAGTTAACTAGTATTTATAAAATTCAAATCTTTCTGCACTTTGTGAATTTCTATAGATGATTTATCTTTGTATTCATAAGAATCTTCTTAACTCTTACAGATATGCTGAAGAGTGAAAATAAGAAGAAGTCATTCTATGAATAGAGAATGAAAAGATTATTAAGAAGAAAGAACTGTGAGAACTTTCTTATCTCAGAAGCTCACAGAGTCTTTATAAGATTAAAACAGATATTTATAAACACAGTGATACTGTTCTACTTTAATTTCTTACTTTTAATTAGATTAGAGACAGATGTCTTCTTCTTTATAATTTCAGAAATAGTCTTATAACTACAGTTAAATAAGAACTGAGTTTCAGTGATCTTTTTCTCATAGAAGATATAATCTGTGAAGATCAACTATAACATCTATAATTAGAAGCTTTTTATAATAGTGAAATTCTTTCATCACTGATATCACTACTTTAAAAACCTTGTAATAGTGATTACTGTTAGAACTGATCATGATAGCTTATAATAGTTTACTTTAATCAAGAAACTCTTACAGCAGCAGATTCACTGAGCTCAGAGACTGAGTGAGTTCTGATTCAAGATAGAATATATCAAGAGAACTAAGAACTCAGTAAACAGATTCTCTTATAGATTGAACTATATTAAGAAGATCAGAGTGACAGATACAGAGAGACTAGAGAAGATAGAAAAGCTTTATAAAATGCTCAGACTGAGTATTATAAAGAGATTGACTGAAGAGTCTCTTAATTCTCTGCAGAAGAAGAGAGAAAAGAGAGAAAAGAAGTCTGTATAACTACTCTCTATAATACTGAGAGTTAATACTTTGAGAATCTCTATGAGAATTCTTGAAGAGAGTATCTATAATCTGAAGAGTTTGCAGACTTTAAGAAGTACTGTGAAAGATCTGATATAAGAAAAAACAGAGTATAAGTCTATATAAAATCTTTTATTCAGATTATCTGAACTATAACTGAAGAATGAATATACTCAGTATATTCAGAAACCGCTTACAGCAGAGATCAATCCTGCAGAAATAAAGAATTGAAGAAACTTAAATAATCTCTTATAAAGAAAGAGCTGAATTTATATATCTGTGAATGAGTTTTTATATATAGAACTTATTAAAAAATATCATAACTCTTCTCTAGTGAGTTATTTTATAGATACTAGAACTCATGAGTTGCTTACAAGTAGACTGACCGTGTGACCGTCTCTGAAACCAGGACCAAACTTTACAGTTATCATGTTGCCTAAAAGCATTACTTCTGGTCATAGTTTGTGTTCATCACATTGATCTCAAATCATGTTATTTCAAATATTAAAGGTCTCAGATTCACTTTTCAAATAAAAATCTAGTCTCAGATAAAGAATATGTTTGAATTCTTAGTCACATTTTCATTCTGATCTCATTATTGAGAATAGCATCAAATAAGATCATGAAATCACTTCTCACTTACATAATATCATAACATAGTGCTCATTTGTTGAAAATTCAATAGAGAGTGTTATTAAATATTATTACTTTTCTGAACACAGATCATAATTCATATAATTTTAATTATGAAAAAAACATAAAATACAAAAAAAATAAAAAACAAAAAACAAAACAAACACAAGAAAAAATCACATTAAAAAAAAAAAAAAAGAAAAGAAAAAGAAAAAAATAAAAAATAAAAATAAAAAAAATCAAGATTGCAGAGCTGCAGCACTCTCAAAATACTTACTTCTCAGAGTCTTCACAATGTTCATCACCAACTGTGTATCTCTCACAGTAAGAATAACACAGCTGTGATGAGTCATTGTCTTAACACTATCTAATAAATAATCAGTATATATCTGTATAAATGTGAATAATTAGAAAACATACACTTAAAAAGTGTGACCAGGGTGAACTCTGCTGCCACTTGAATGATATCAAGGACAGAACACTGAAATTGATAATTTCTCTCATTGATTTCATGAACAAGGCGTACAAAGATGATCTTAAGAAATATAAGATTCTCTGACTTCTGATAAAAACAGATCTCATGAAGAGACTCTATTTTCATGATATCAGAGACTGAGTGTTATCAAAAAGTGTTACTTTCATGCAATGCATATGTACTTACTGCAGTGATTCACTCTCTTTACATGTGACTGAGAGTTGCAGCTTTCTCACACTGCACAGCTCTCTCTGAGATGCTGCTGTCAGTTTGCAACTCACACAGTCTCTCAGTTCAGCACATACTGTGTGTATACAGTTCTGCATGCTGGGGCTGTGTTAGTCATTATAGCCTGGCATGGTACTCGCTTTTCATGAGTCATGGTTTATTTGAGAGAGAGAGAGGGAAGATGCAACTATTATTTTATTGAGAAGAGAATGAATAATTAGTATTGTTGAATTAATTTGATTCATCTGCATTTAAAATTTGATTAGTTTATACTCTTCAATTTAAGGATTTCTATGAGTGTTTTAATAGTTTTCATACCAGCTTGAACTTAGTGATGAGTTGAAGAAGAAGAGAAAAGAGAGAAGAAAGAAATGAGAATAACTTATCTTTATAATATAAAAACAGAGAATCACTGCAATCATTCTTTCTAGTAATAAAGATCTGTTTTCTGCATGTATCTCTGATATAGATTATATGATAAATGCATACAAAGAATACCAATAGTGCATGCATTGAATGAAGATAATATTGCTATGCAACACTGTAGCTGTTTCTGTACATCTCTGAAAGCTGTTAATAGTTTCTTTATCTCTTTATATTTGATAAGTCAATAATATATTCTGATGCACTCCCTCTTTCATCATCATCATCATCATCATCATCATCATCATTATCATCATCATCATCATCATTATCATCATCATCATCATTATCATCATCATATCATTGCCTGCCTTCACTCTCTTTCAACACTCATCAAAATCAATTATGTCATCTCTCTTCAAATATTCTGCGGTCCTGCGGACCATCAAGGCGCATGAGTGCTGTCACAGATTGAAGGAAGAGAAGAAGAAGGCATTAAAGTGTGAGGAGACAGATTGCAAGACATGTTATAATACCTTGAAGAGACTCTGTAAGAGAGCAGAATAATAACAATTTTAAGTAACACTTCTGATAGATTTAGACTGAACTAAGTATAGAAATAATGTGAATGACGCTGCCTATAAGAGATTGAAAAAGAAGACAGTGAAGAGCCTCATGCAGCAGTGATTAAACCAGAAGAAGTCTCAAGAATGATTTGAGACTAAGATGAAGAGAGAGAGAAAGAAGAAGAGTATTACTATAAATAAGCAGCAGTAGAAGAAGATTGAGAAGATATTAAAGTAGGAGACAAAGAAGTCAAAACTGGTAAGTTTTTTATTGAGAGATAATGATTTTTGATAATACTTCTGTTCTCTAATTGATTAGCAGGAGCTGATAGAGAAGGAGGGAATTGAGGCCTTGTTCAGGTCTCAAATGCACTTCATGATCCAGGATATTGAGGAGACAGCCCTGCTCTCTGAGCATGTCAATCTGCTTACTGCTGGGGTGGAACCTGAGACAGCAGACCAGGAAATGCAGGATTTTGAGATGCAGGTTGACCTGGCTGAAGAGAAGCAGTGAAAACCCTTCTCTGAGAAGACAGTGAAGAGAGATTTTGAGATGATTATCATCTCAGATGAGAAGAAGAAGAAGAAGAAGAAGAAGAAGAAGAAGAAGAATGAGAAGTGAATTATAAAGAATGATAAGAAGAATGAGAAAGAGAAGAAGTAGATTTTTTTCTTTTTATATTAGTTAGTTGTAAGTTTAAGTTTTTAATTATTAATAATTAAAATTGATTTTAAGTTTTCAAAAATTATTGTACAAGTTATAATCAAGTCAGGAATGATATATATATATATATATATTTAACTATCATGATTCACAAATCACTATAATGTATAAGTATCAACATTTTTTCAACATTGATATTTACAATATTAATATATTTTTAATAATATCATCTGATAATATAATTTGATAACACTCTCTTTCACAATATTAATATATTTCAAGAAATATGACAGAGATTAATCAAGATTGTTTATTTACTTTTATACATCAATGATATTCAATCTGAGTTAGTACTAAAATTATAACTAAGCTAAGAAACAAGATTATTTTCTCTTATATTAATTCTTCTTACACACATCAGTGATCAGTTATTGAAAATAAATTATCATCTTTCTCAAATTATTATCATATCTTCTGAATTCACTTCTTTCACTTCTTTTACTTCTATTGAAGATTTACAAACTCTTTAAGAAATCACTATGAATTACAAAGTCTACATTGTTTACAATTCAATACAGAATACTCTCTTTCAATTATAATGAATAATCACTTCATTCTTCACATCTGATTCCAGGTCACAAAATTTATGAAAAACTCAACACAAATATCAAGATGAACTATGAAATAATTATCAACAGATTGCATTGCAGATTACTGAAGAGTCATCTCTTTACTACAATCACTGCAACTTCATTCAGAAACATTTATCATGAACTGATCATGACTCTGAAGAAATTTTCTGACATCTGAAGTCATCAGAATGCAGACAATAAAAGAAAAATAATCAGAAAATTACTACTGAGCTGGTAAGTTGCTCTATCAAGTAACAATTTTTGATAACACTAACTTTCTAATTTGAAGAAAATCATGTGAAAATGACTCTGTATCAGTACTCTGATTTCACAACTCTCATCTGATAACTTCTGTGAATAATTACTTTGCATATGTATATCTCTGAATCTTTCTCTTCAATCAATTGAAAACCTCAAATTCTGAACACTTCTTCAAATACTTAATTCAAATCTTCATATTTCACATCAATTCTGTCTTCAGTTCAATCTTGAGATATACTACAAAGTTAATATGCAACATCTAGAATCAGAGTTGAAGAATCATTGAAGAGTGTCTCTCACAGTGAATGTATGAACTAGTACAAACAATCTTACATTTATAGAAGTTACATGTTATTATATTGATGAGAACTGAACTTATTGAGAGATATTAATTGAATTTGAATCATTGATCAGTAGTCATACTGAGGATTATATAGCAGAGGTATTAATGACTGTGATTAAAAATGACTATTGAGATATTAGTTTCAGTCTTCTTACAATTATAACTGATAATGCTGTGAATAACTACACTATAGTGAAGAGCTTAGAGCAAAAATTGACTTTACATTTCTGAAATAATAAACAAGGTCATATTCTCTGCATTGCTCATGTGGTTCAACTTGTGATGCAAACACTGATAAAGAATCTTAACATCAAGATGAAGAATAATGAGATAACTGATTCTTGAGATGAGAATGAGATGAAAGTAATTACTCAAGTAACTTTTACATTCACTTTGTAAAAGATAATGTTTTTTGATAACACTTTTTAATATTGCTTTTTGATAATGCTTTTTGATAATGCTACTGTTAATTTTGAATAGATTGACTAATAATTTAAATATCATAGATTTGAAACATTGCTAATGTAATTTGTACCTCTTCTAAACAATAATAATGATTTCATGATATTCAACAAACAAACAAATCAGTCACATCACTGAATATGATACAGGATGTTAGAA